CTGTGGCTGTGGCAGTGGCTGTGACTGACTGTGGCTGTGGCTGTGACTATGGCTGTGACTATGGCTGTGGCTGTGGCTGTGTCTGTGACTGTGGCTGTGGCTGTGGCTGTGGCTGTGGCTGACTGTGACTGTGACTGTGGCTGTGGATGTGGCTGTGGCTGTGACTGTGTCTGTGTCTGTGGCTGTGGCTGTGTCTGTGGCTGTGTCTGTGGCTGAGACTGACTAAGCAGACTCTCTAGCCCTGACACTGAGTTTTGTTTTGCTCTCCTGGTGCTTCTGCCTCTGGGTCGCTCTTCATTGCCTTGGAGGAAAGTGTTCACAGCGTGATGGAAAGAGTTTAGCATATGAACAGGGGTCACAGTCACTGCAATGCTTCTGAGCACAGGCCAATTCCCTACAAACAGATGAAGCTGACGGGGAGCCCCAGGAACCTGGAGCATGGGGCTCAGTTGCTTCTCCTCTGCCCTTCCACCTGCCACCTCAGGAGCGTTGCCTGTGGCTAACTTTCAGGAAAGTTACAGCAGGCCAGACTTTGTGAGTTCTGGCTTCTTGTTGACTAAAATCCACATGATTTTAGTCAACAGTCTGGATATGTGCTAGGCTATTCCTGGCCATCTGGACAGATGTGTGCTGGCTTCCATTCTGTACCGAGGTACCCTCTTGGATATAGAAAACTTCTAATGCAGTTTGAATCTTAAGGAAAATTCCCATTTCTGAGTTTACAGCATAAATCTACATTTGACTTTAAATTTTTCTCTTCTTAGTAAAACATTAAAAAAAAAGTAGACCAGAGTGAAAAAACATAGGCTAAAAATAAAAATTAAACAATGCACATTTGAAGCCTCTGAATGTATTTTTCATAATTTTCTACTTTCTTTTACTATGATTGCATGGAAGTTCCCACATGTATTCACAAATATGCTTTAATTTTACAGACCTAGAATTAAAAATAATTGCATTTCAAAATTTCTGATTAGTATGCCATTTTACCTCAATTGCTTTAACTATGTTGACAATTTTACACATATACATACATACATAGCTTTTAAATAAATATGCATATGTCAGATATAAGTATCTACTCATATTAATATCAGTATTTATCATATAGTACATGTATAATCACCAATATATACATACATACACATTTCCATCATTCCATGTTAATTTTATAGAATATTACATGCTTGATGTGGCTTCTAATTATGTTCAGGCTTTTTTATATATATATATACCTGGAGATTGAACCCAGGGTCTTATAAGTTCTATGGAAGTTTTCCAACATGGATCTACATGCCCAACTTTTTTTTTTTTGCCTTCTTTTTTCGAGACAACATCTCTTTGAGTTGCCCACACTAGCCTTGAATTCACTCTGTGTCTTGGGCTGGACTCAAACTCATGACCTTCCTGCCTTGCTGGAATTACAGGCCTGTGTCTCCATGCCTGGCTTATTCTGGGCATTTGAAAATAGAGAAAGACACATAAATACTTTGTAATTTCTCATGTTGCCTAGAATAAAGACCACGAACCCTACGACTCTGAAGTAGCAGTGAGTTAATAGGTTCCTGAGATGCTTAGAAAGATGTGAAAACCAGACATCTCATTTGCATGTGGCTGACATCTCCCATGCACACTTGCCAATTTAAGATTGTTTTGGCTATACTGGTTGTTTGTGTGTGTGTGTGTGTGTGTGTGTGTGTGTGTGTGTGTGTGTGTGTGTATTAGTGTGTGTGTGTTTCTGAGGTTCCACCCCAGGGCCTTGCACTTTCTCGCCAAGTGTTCTGCCTCTGGGTGTGTGTCAACCTACCACTTGCTACCTTGAGTGTTTCCTCTGCCACCCTTTGCTTCATCTTTTACAGACAATACCTTCTCCTGACATCAGTGGTGACTCTCAAGGTCTCTGTCCTATGAATGTAGGGACGTGGGCTAGTGCCCTGACCCCAGGCTTCTCCCACAGGCCAGCACACTTCTGGGGCAGTCTCCGATCAACTCCTTCCACTCAAAGTTTGTTTCTCCTATTTTGCAAAACCTATCCTTTGTGCTGTTTCATCCTGCGTTCGTTCCATGAGGACCTGAGAAACCATCCTGCCTGTGTGATCAATGAGTGCCTTCCCATCCAGTACCCAGAGGGTTGGAGGGAGGGATAGGCAAACTCCCTTCAGGAGGCCCCAATGCAGCCCACACATTTCCCCTTGCTTGTTCTGCACGTCAACAACATGGGAATCAAACCTTCTAGAGCCCTGTGTCCCCCTGAGCTGAATGCACGTGTCACCTGATGGGGCCGTTGCTAACAGCTGGCCTGGAGAACTGTGCTGAAGCAGAATTCGAGAGAGCAAAGGAAAGCTTTCTTTAATCTTGTCCAAACTAGTCTGGAGTCTGTATCACTGAAAGATTATGAGAACATCCTGCCCTCTACCTAACACCGGCCAGATTACATTTACTGGATTATATGTATTATGTAATTGGCTCAACTGCATTATTTACCCTGTTAAAAATCTCTGTGGGGATGGGTGACATTCTCATACAGTCCACATTCAACCCAGAGTGCAAGGTTTGGCCCTTCTGATGGCCGCTGCGCTTTCCAGCCGTGACTTCCATTTCCCCTTCCACTCTCCAGCCACCCCTGCCACACACAGTCTTCTCAAGGTGACTTCCATCCTTGCTCATGCTTGGTCCCTGTGGTATGTTTAATATATACCTGCAAATTTGTTGACATTCCTCCTTTCAAAAGGTGGAGCCTAATTCCCCTCTGGACTTGGCAAATCACTTCCAATGAATACAGCGTGGGCTAAGTGATGCTGCGTGACTCGCTGGCTGTGCCATGGAGGGGATGGCTGCCGCCTGCTTATTTCTCTTTGGCATCACTCACGGGGGAGCCCAGCTGCTGTGTCTTCTAGTGACTGTCCCTCATGAAGCACCCCAGGCCAGAATGCCCAGTCCTCCCATTCCTGACCTACAGAAAGATGAGAAGTCGTCTTACACCACCGAATTTTCCATGGCTTACTGTGCACCAATCAATAAACGATCCTCTTCACAAGGCCGCCACAACTCTCTCTCCTATCCTTTCATTCTTGACTGGTCTTTCTTTGAATGGACCAACTTTGAAAAAGCTACTTCAATTCTTTGCCTCAATTATCCTCAAATGAGGATAATAGCTCTTGTCTTTAAGACTAATAAAGAGATTGCAAATGAGCATGTTTGGTGCCAGCACTGTGGCTCATGCGTGCAAACCCAGCATTCAGAAGGCAGAGGCAGGAGCATTGCTGAGGTCAAGCCCAGCCTGGCTCCATAGTGACTTAAGGCCAACATGAGCTATAGGGTGAGACTCTGATTCAAAAACCCAAACAAATAAATAAACAACATACAAAGAAAATGGCAGTTCCTGGTGGGCCACAAGGCCCAGCCAGTATGGCGATATTTTATTTGTGCTGAAATGTGATTTTATTTGTATGTTAATAAAGTTGCCTGGGGACCAGAGCTCAAAGCAAGGCATTACACAGAAGTCTGGTAGTGGTAGCACACGCCCTTAATCTGATCACATGGCAGGCAAAATCTCTGTGTGTTCAAGGACACAGCCAAGTGGTGACCTGAACCTTTAATCTCAGTACAACCATAGAGACCTGGAGGACTGTATAGACAAGCAGTGACGAGGAAGTCATGTGGTTGGGTTTACAGCCAATGAGAAGGCAGAACAGAAAGGCAATAAAAAGACAGGACACAGGAAGAAGGTCTTTCTCTCAGGGGAAGGATGGCAGCAAGTGGTAAGATAACGTGGTCTTAGCTCTTGGCTACTGCTTGATCTCTGGGCTTTTAACTCTTCATTTGACTCTGTGTTTCTTATTTAATAAGACTGTTTAGAATTACATCTACAAGACAGTGTGGACGTGTGCCATGAGCTCATCATCACAGGCCCAGACCACTTCTTCTTAGGTGTGCAATAGTTATCTTCCTGCCCTTCAAATCCTCTGCCTTATATTTTGCTTGTAGAAGGTGATAACTCGTCTTGTAGAAGGTGACAGCCAGTGTCACTCATCTTCCGTCCACTGTGGGATTTGCTGTGTTGCATGCACCAATCAATGTCTTTTAGTAAGCAGGATTCCAAGTTAAGAGATTTCTCATTGATCAGAAGGTGTCTGATGGAGGAGGTGGGCTGCCTTGACTCCCCCAAACATAGTGCGTTCTTCCTGCTCCAGCTGCTGGGATTGGGGGGTGGGGTGCTTCCAGGAACCGGCTATGGAAACTGAGCTTCAGTGTGGACTGTGGAAGGCTCCTTCCACTTGTAGATATGTGCACTGAAATACAAAAGAGCACATTAAACAGTTTTCAGAACTGCTCAGGACATGCCAGCAGAGCATCTCTCTGCACCAGATGCTTGGCTGTATTGTACCGGCATGCTCAGACACCGGCTTTTCAAGGTATGCATTTTCCAAAAGCAAACATCAACATTTAGATGGCAATTATTCAGAGGGAAATTTCATGTCCCTCCACTCGCTTTGCTGCCCATGAAGATTCTAGAGATGTTTCCTTGGATGACTTTGTGCTGCGAAGGATGACCCCACACTGAGATTTAGTATGGGTTTGAAAAAATGGAAAACAAAGAAATAAGACTAAGACTTAGTGTGAAATCCATCCGAGGAAAGGAATCAAACTTCTAACACAGCTGCCGTTTGCCAAGCCTCAGCACAACGCTTGTGTGAAGCCTGCACAGCATCAGGGGTAGCAAGATGGTCCCCACTGGTGAGAGAAACTATCAGAAGAGACCTCTTCAGATGCGACTCTGCATGCATCCAAGCCACACAAACTTTTCACATCACTCTCTGCCTGGACATCCAGCTGACATTTTGCATGAGAACCAAGTTAGTTCACCATGAATAATCTCAGTGCCTTGCTAATATGCACAAAAGTTTTCCAGCAGAGACTTGTCTGTCTTTACTCATAAGGGAATTATAAGCAGGTTAGCTACTGCAAGCCATGGATGGAAAACCCTGGAAGGGAAAAACAAGGAAAGGAAAAACCCTTCATTTTTTCCCCCAATCTGTGTCCCAAGCTCAGTATTGTAGAGGAGGACATTGGATACTTCACAGACCACACTCTGGTCATTGGGAAAGACGTCGTCCCCAAGTGCTGTAGTTGGCACGGGAAATGTCCCCCACAGGCTCACATGTTTGAACACTTGGTCTCCAGATGGTGGCACTGTTTTAGGAGGCGGTTGAATCATTAGGCGGGGACCTGGTTAACTGAATAGTTGGGTAGAGGTAGGCCTTTCCCATGACATCTGCTTTGGGTTCTGCCTGGCGTGCTCTGCTTCCTCATCTGCCAAAAGGTGAACAAGGTGCTCTACAAGCTTCCTCTGGCACGAACATGGTTCTGCTGTCACACCTTCCCCACCCTGGTGGACCCAGATTCCCTGAAGCCATCAGTCAAAATAAATCATCTATTAAGTCACTTGTGTCGGATATCTTGACATGGCAACAAGAAAAAAAAACATCACACCATACCTGCAGGTGTAGCCTCTTGGCTTATGCTGCAGGTGGTCTGGCTGTTCATCTGTTCCAGAGGAAAGCAGGGCAGGTAGTGGCAGATTTCTCCACTCCTCCCAGTGAACACTGCTGAATGCTGTGCTGGTCTGGGTCGAGGCCTGACCCCTGTGCTCTGTAAACAACTACCAGGAAGCAAGTATGAAACTTCTAGAAGAGACAATTTCTTTAACAACATTTTGACAAAAACAACAACAACCAAACAAACAGTTGAGGAAACAGAAGTGGTTCTTGGATTGTTTGGAAATTAAGAATTTGAAGTCATAGAAAACACAATGAAGAAAAGATACCTAACTGTTGTGACCATGTTCTTTCTGGTAAAGACAGGTCTTAGCTGTGGATTATTGTATTCTGTTGAATGTTTAGTGGGAAAACCCTTCATGGTAAGCTTAGCTTTGTTGTCTGATTCTCACTGGTGGGGGAGGGTAGCATGCATTGGAGGATTAATGATGTGATTGTATTGGACAAAGCCATCTAACTCAGTGTGCTCATAAAATGGATATCTGTTTGATAGAGTTGTAAGTAATGTGTGAAATCTTGTTAACAAAAGTCTCTTACAGGGCCTTCAAATACACTTGTTCTCAGCTCTCTTCAGTGTGATTCCAAAATTCTAAATCTGCAATTGTTGTCGGAGGCATTCTACTTAATGCAAACATTGAGTTAATGAATTGGATTAAGTTAATGAATAGGATTGAGTTATGAGTGGCTGGTGGACAGGACGAAGATACTGGATCCTAAATGCATTGCACAATCTTCTACCATATACACCTTGAAATGCATGTTAATGTACTTATAGAATATGTTTAAATAATAAGTATTCGGTATGTTCAATCCTCCACACGTCTTTCCCTTACTGATGGCATGCTGTAGTAGTTGTATGGAACAACTCATAGGCATGGACATGCCATTATTCTTACCTCTGAACTGTATTTTGATGACTTTAGTGTCTTTCTGACATCTACCTTCTATTCCAGGGTTCAGCAGGGAGATACAGCTCATTCTTATACTCTTACATATAGCCTAAAAAAGGAGGAAAGGAAAGAAAGACATGAAAAAGAGCTATTGTAATCACCAACCTACAGGGTGTGGCATTCGAAGCCCAGGGGAACTCCCATTTCACGGCTCCAGGTGATTGTGTGAACCTTTTCTGTCACAAAAGAGAGCAGAAACAAGTGCAATGATAGCTCAGAAGCACAGAAGATAGGGCCTGTGAAATCAGTCGTGGGAAATCAATTTACTTTTACAATATTTTCTTGAGTAGTTGAGAGAGCTCATTCACAAATATGCAGCTAGTGAGTGTCCGTTTAAGGCTAAACTGTAGGTATCTATTTAGAATTAAAATGATTTTGTTAACTGAGAGTCTCTTTGTTCTGTTTATATAGCCCTTCCTAAATCAGCATTATTAAAGTATTGATATATTAATGATTATATTAGTATTATTAATGATAATTAATGCATTACTGTATTAAAATAAAAATGTGTCTGCCTAGAAACTTGAATGCTGGAAGCCCATAGCTGTGTAAACCGGCTGTGAATATAACATGGTTGATTCCTGCTGATCTAATTTATAATGATTTAGTTAGGTTTCCTGTAACAGACTCAAATATCAAATGCCCAGCAGAGATGAAGGTAGATATTTCACATGGATTTTCAACAGTCAATAAATTACCTGCATTGTTTATCTCATCTTGGAAATGTGCTGGTCTTTAGAACGAAGGTTAATCATGGTTCTGGTTCTTATCTGTATTATTTAATTTCCCATCTGCACACTAATTGCTTCCAAGCAGGGCATTGTGGATTGCCCTAAGCTTCATTGTGTAGCAGCGGGAATTGGAACTGGCTTTATAGGTGGCTGGCACACACCTCTCTCCAACTTCAGGCCTGGGAGTCGTAGATACAGCTGAGAGGCAGTCCTTCTGAGTGGAAGGCAGCCATACTTGGAGGAGGTAAATGCAGTCAAAAGCATAAGAGATGCTTGCTGGTCAACAAGGCAGGACCAGGCTATTTAGACTGAATCCCTGCCTTGTATCCTCCAAGCCTGGGGTGCGGAGAGTTCATAGATACCCACGTCACCTGTTATAACACCACCGTTCCCTAGACACATCACCTCTCATAACATCGAGCTCACGGAGATGAAGCTAGCCGGGTGGTGGTGACATAGATGAAAGCAAGCCTGTGACAAACATGGATGGGGTGTGTTCCTCGGAGGAGGCCATGTGACTTTCATTTCCGGGGAAGATCCCACAGCCTGCTATAGCTGCCAGCCTACTAAGCTTTTCTACGCAGCCTGTCCATGGAGGTGTTTCCCTTCTCTGTGCTATCAAGAAGTCGTTTATTCCAAATAACTTGTGAATATCCGGGCAGACATCACAGTAAGAATGTCCTCCTCCCAATATGACAGTGCCTGTTCAATCTAAGGTCACTCTTGCAGATATTTATACAAGAACCTTTGGGAATCTTAGATTTGATTTTCCTTCAAGCTAAAGAAAACTCACCTTTATTAGTATGAGAATAAATAGATTTTATCTATTTATTTAGAAGACCTATGCGCTAACCATATTGATATAGATCCCAAGATGGCAGAGATGAGCCCAATTTGTTATCCTTTAATAAAGTTTCATTTTTCCTTAATGTATATATTTTTTACCCATAATCCTCCACAAGCACCTGAAATGGATACTGTGAAATGATTCAAGGATGGTCATAACCTGCCTTCCACCTATCTCCACAAACACCAGCAACAAGCCAGTTAGTTAGCAGGGATTACAAATGACATGTGTGTTGAATGATTCATTTACAAGTTTCTGTCCATCTAGATTCACCAAGGTCATTGCCAATTTAAAATATTATATAATCTACAATAACTTAAATATGTGAATTTTGGCAATTTTGATCAAATAAGTCATTATAACCATAAAATATAATGATTCTCTATCACTACCTTAACCAAAACATGTTTGATGAATAGCTCCAGCCACACATTTTGCCGGAGTTCAGCATTTTATGAGCCTTGAAACATTTATTATGGGTGATAGTTTTCACTTCTACCTAAGTCAAATTTTCATTTGACCTCTAGCAAAAACTAATCTCAAATATCTAAGGCAACCTCAGACACACAATAATTAACAAAAATGACTTCCAGGGCAAGCGGTGGGCTCTAAATTTCATAAAATGATTTCTGTGTGGATTTAAGCTGTATTATAATACATTTCCAAACAAGACAATTATTTACTGTATTAAAATGACCACAGCTACATTTTTGAGGACAAATAAAACAAAGAGCTTTTAATATCACTGTTCCCTGGCATTATAATTCACAGTTAAGCCCAATAGAATAGCAATTATTTATTCGGAATACCACACAGGTCCTTGCTTTGCTAGGATTTTAAAATTTAAATGCTTTTCCTCCTTGTATAGGCTCGCGTCCCTCAAGTAGTCATTTGAACACAGGATAATGAGGGTATCCTTCGCAAATCATAAATCAAATACCATGCTTTGATCCTCATCGCTACCCTGATAGCGTTAACAGCAGTTTATTTGGAAGTATGCAGCACACTAAATTATATGGTTGCTCTTCTGTTTCCTAGTTTATGCTTTCCTCTTGGCTACATCTAGTAATTTTTTATTCAGATCACCATATACTCCATGCATTCCATATTTATAAAAATTCCTAAATACATGCTAGCTACATCTTTGCAATAGTGTGGTTCTTAATGATGCCCTGTTCTGAATTAGAATGAATGTAAGGCAATGTCAGGATGGTAATCTGTTGCCACTTTTGCACATGATAAGATGTCTTCTTACCCTTAATATCGAAGTTCTTTCTTTGTGGTTGTCAGCAATATACACACCATTGCTACCCATAAATGGGCTGTCTCCTATAATCAGGAAATGGGACGATTGCTTTTTAAGTTAATTAATGATAATGGCATATTTATCTAGCATTTCCCTGCTGTCCCCAGTGGAGGCTACTGGTTCATGGTACAGTATTTGTTGAACCTGGCTTCGTGATAAATTGGGATTCTTTCTGCTCCCTTGTCCTCAAAGCTATTTGTTTTCTTTTAAAAGCTCTTTATAATGTTTCCTTAATGTGGATAGTAAAATAAAGAAACCTCTAGGTTCAAGTGTAAGTGTCAGCCTGGAATCCACTAATGTTGCTGATTGCTGAGGCAATCATGAACTTCTGACAAAAGGGTGGGATAAACCTAGCTATAACAAAAAACTTGCACACTGTAGGCAGTCAACAGGAGTTTCTTCCAGGAAAAAAAATGTATGAAATATGTGACACAAAGTGACAAGACATCTTTACGATGAGCATGACACATCTTCTAAAGATGAATCCGACATGGTTCTGTGGAGAATCATCAGCTGGAGAAATTTTAGACAGGTTCCTTTCAGGAACTCTCCCCAGCTTCATCCTTCTCTTGGTTCTTCTCAGAGATGGGGAACTTGAGCTGTACTATTCACTACGCCAAAGGAGACAGCACAAACAACAGAAGGCTGCTTGAAAGGAAACCAAGCACCCTAGAGTGTTAAAGAAACACATTGAGCATTTCTCTAGAAAGCGCCAGAAGTGGCTCATGAAAGTGGTAGATCTGGGCTCACTGTGCAAGATGAAAACTCAAGTTAAAACAGACACAAACAAAAAACAACAAACTAACAGGCATGCTGGAGTGTACCTGTAATCTCAACTCTGGGGTGACAGGAGACAGAGACAGAAGGATGTCTATGGCTTAACAGCCAGCCAGACAAAATGAACTGGTGAGCTTGAGGTTCAGTGCTATATCCCATCCTAAAAAAAAAAAAAAAAAAAAATTGAAGAAAGACACCTGCAACTGACTTCTTCAAGCATGTGAACACATGTTCACACACATGAATATGTGTATATACATACAATAACACACACACACATACACACACACACACATACACGCTCAATGCATGTGGGAAAAATTGTTAGATTGCGGAAGAGAAGATTCTGTCTTTTTATGCTTCCCACATTACTAAGCTTAACTTAACTCTACATACCTAGCGTGCATCAGCAAATGTGCTGGTTAAATAGAGGGGTTCACAAAGGTGCTTGGAGGTGCATGGAGGCCAGAGCTCTGCTCTTCTCAGAGGCCTGGCTCTGCAGTGTGGGACCCGTCTTCGTGGCTCCTTCCTTGTGCATCTCTTCAGAAAGCACAGTTTTATCAGTCCTCTCTAGAAGATCAGAGCAAATGTCAGGCTTGCTGGTTCCGTGCATCGCTTGCAGCACCTGGCACAGAAGCTCTCCCCGTGAACAAGCTTTCCTTCAGAATATGAGCTCCTGTCCCAGATCTGAGTTCAGCTCTTCAGCCTTCACCCTCACGTTTCATCCTGTGTTTGAATCAGTCCAATCTCTGACCTTTTCAACATTGCCTTTGGCCCCAACATGCTGGGATGATGATACATCAGCTCAGACATACGTCTCCTTACCTCCTCTCAAGTCCCCCTGGCAGGCAGAATTTCTCACTTCTTTTACAATGTCAAATTTCTCACTTGTGGATTTGTTTAACTTTCTGAAAATTATATTCTTTTCACCAAATAACGACTTTGAATTTGTTCACCAACTGGAGCCTCCAGGCATCACTTTTCTTCCCAGACACTGGCAGGAAGGTGACTGTGTTCTTTATTATGCTGGGGCTGATGCTTCACAGCGGAAGTTTATCGGGCGTACTCTAAGCTGCCTCTTAAGGCTAATGTGCGGGCAGTGTCTGTTCTTGAAGAAGTCCCATCAGAAGTAGGCACGCACGAAAGAAAGTGGTTTGCTCAAGCTGTCTGTCCTTTAACAACAAAAAACAAATGACCAGTCCTGTTGGCCCAGTGAAGGCTTCTAGTCAACATCACCTCTGTGTTGAAACTCAGGTGCTAGTTTTTCCTTCTCCACAGTGAGGATCCAGGGTGCTGTGTACATTTTAGTGACATTTAAACACTGTAGGGAGTCAGTCTGGAAAAAAAGTTGACGTGATCACAGTTTTAATTTTTACCTTGACACAGTCTAGGGTCAACTGTGAAGAGAGTCACAGTAACAGATTATTTATATCAGGTAGGACTGTGGGCATGTCTTGAGGGATTGTCTTAATCGCCTTAGCTGAGGTAAGAGAACCTTGACTGAAGATGGACACTGCAGTTCCCTGTTTGTCTGGAAAAGTGGGCTAGGTGGATGCACTCATGCGTTCACTTCTCTCTGCTTGAGGCCGTGACTGTAACGGGGCCAGCTGCTTCCAGTTCCCACCAACCTTGACTTCCTCCTAATAACACACTATCACCTAGAATTGTAAGCGAGAGTCAATCCTCTCTCCCCCAAGCTGGCATTTGTCAGGGCATTTTCTCACAGCAACAGAAATAAAACTAGAACAATAGGCTAAGTACTTTGAAAGAAGAAGATCCTAGTACCCACTTTGTCCAAGGTAAACCACTACCCACTATAGATCTCCAATTTCAGCAAGTGATAGTGAATTCACTTGTCACTGAAGCCAGATGGTTATCAATTAAATACCAGACAGAGGAGAGGAAGCTATACATTGACTGATTACTCCTGAGAAATGCAAACTTCAGTATTTAAAATATATTATTTTATGAATAAGTAACAAAACTTTAAATGCCCAGAAAAGTGATGTTCAATGATTTATAGGATGTGATGGCTAGTCTTGGTTGTCAACACCTGGGAAAAAGAATCTTACTTGAAGAATTGCCTTCATCAAATCGGCCTGTGGGTGTGTTTGTCTGGGACTTTCCTTAATTAGTAAATGATGTGGGAAATCGCAGCCCACTGTGGGCAGCAGCATCATGCCTAGGCAGGTATATAAAAAGTAGCTGAACATGAGCCTGGGAGCAAACCAATAAGCAGTGGTCCTCCATTGTCTCTGCTCTAAGCTCCTGCTTTGGCTTCCCTTGATGATGGATTATGCCCTGGAAGACGAAGTGAAGCCTTTCCTCCCCAAGTTGCTTTTGATCAGTGTTTCAATTAGAGGGACAGGAAGCACTGCAGGATGCAGGGTGGTTGACTTGAGGAAGGTTCTGTGGATTAACAAGTCCAATCTTCTGGGGGTGGGGAGCACTGTCATTCATTGGCTCACCTGAGTCACACTCCAATAAGATAAGAAACATACTGAGGTGAAGAGTCCTCCATAGCTCTTTTATAGCATAGGTACTGACTACAAAACTACATCTTAATTGAGTGTAGCAGTGATGTTTAGGAGTTCACAGCTCAGTACACTTGTATAGACACAATCAGGATCAAGAGCTGTGATGTGTGATTACTCAACTGAACTGGCACTTTGTATGGACTAGCTATATGACAACCTCTACTAGAGATTTGGCATGTACAGAACAGTACAGTCCAATATCACCCCAGGAATTCCCAACTGAGTTGGAGGCCAGCATGCTGAAAAGAGCTATGAGTCACTTTACCACTGAGTTAAAGCAGCAGGGGTAGGGGTAGGCTCAAGGAGTCAGATTGCAGAGGAGTGGATTTTAGAGAACACTATCAGACCATGGCAGAGAAAAGCACTTTCTGAAGAGAAGACCCATGGGAAGACTGTGAATTATGATAAAGTTGAACAGAAGCAGTGGAGGTATGCGTTGTAGACAGACTTTCTTTTCTGCTGCCAGCCCCAAATAACGATGGGGAGACTTCTTATTAATTATGAAAGCTTGGTCTTTAGCTTAGCCTTGTCTCAACTACCTTTTATAACTTAAATTAACCCATTTATATTAATCTATGTTCTGCCATGTGTCATTACCTCTTTTTCATTTTGCATCTCCTATTTCCTCTCTGTCTGGTTGGTGATTCCACATTCTTCTTCCCAGAGTTCTCTCTCTGCCTAGAAATCCCACCTATACCTCCTATCTAGCTATTGGCCATTCAGCTTTTTATTACAGCAATCACAACAATACATTTTCACACAGTGTACAAATATCCTACAACGTTGCATGTCTGTGTGTCTGTGACTCTGTGAGTGAACAAACTCTACTAGTTTGGAAATGAGCAAAACACAGAAGTAAATATAGTGCTTTCTGGGGATGTCTAAGTAGGTTTCTTCTTTTAAGAAACATTTCAAAATTTTCTTTTATTTTAAAAGTGTGTCAGTGTTGTGGAATATTAGTTGAAGATGTGTTACATTTGTTTATGCTGTGGAACATTTGTTTAATGATGCAAAGATGTGTTGCATTCTTTTATGTTGAATTTGTTTAACTCTGTGAAGCTGTGTTACTTTTGCCTGCCTAAAACACCTGATTGGTCTAATAAAGAGATAAATGGCCAATTGCTAGGCAAGAGAAAGGCTAAGCAGGGCTGGCAGGCAGAGAGAATAAATAGGAAGAGAAATTTGAGAAGAGTGAGAAAAGGAGGAGAGGAGGATGCCAGGGGCCAGCCACACAGCCACACAGCCAGTCACGGAATAAGAAGGAAAGAAAGATATGCAGAAATAGAGAAAGGTAAAATCCCAGAGGCAAAAGGAGGATGGGATAATTTAAGAAAAGCTGGCTAGAAACAAGTCAAGCTAAGGATAGGCATTCATAAGAAAAAATAAGTCTTAGTGTGATTATTTTGAAGCTGAGTGGTGGGCCCCCAAAGAGCAAAGAGCAAGAGGGAAAAAAAGCCAACAATCTGTCTCTCTCTCTCTCTCTCTCTCTCTCTCTCTCTCTCTCTCTCTGTGTGTGTATGAGTATGTGCACTTGAGCACAGGTGTCTGTAGAGGCCAGAAAAGGGTACTGGGCAGTTGTCTGCTGCCTGGTGTGGGGTCTGGCAACCAAACCATGTTTCTCTGCAAGAGCTGTGTGCACACTTAATCCCAAGCCATATCTCCAGACCCAGACTCCCTCCTGTAGTTGAGCATCAAGTGTCGGACAGCGGCTGAGAGAGACCAGTGCTAGCAGGCAAATGTACCTCAGTTTACCACATTAAGGCATTTTGATTTGGTCTTTCAGAGGTTAAAAGGAGAGCACAGAAGAAAAAGGAAGTAAACCTAAGCCTGGTTAGCTGGATTAGACAAAACCATGATAGAATTGTGTTATATACTGTGTACCCTAATAAAGCTTGTCTGAGGATCAGAGGACAGAGCCAGCCACTAGATTAGACATAGAGGCCAGACGGTGGTGGCACACACCCTTAATCCTATCACTTGGGAGGCAGAGATCCCTCTGGATCTCTGTGAGCTCAAGGCCACACTGGAAATGGAGCCAAGCAGTGCCAGCACACAAGCCTTTAATTCCAGGAAGTGATGGCAGGTCAGAGACAGGTATATAAGGCGTGAGGAAACAGGAACTCACTCTCTTTAGACTGAGGATTTCCTAGAGCTAAGAACTAGTGGCTGGCTGTTCTGTTTCTCTGATCTTTCAGCTTTCACCCCAGTATCAGCTCCCAGTTTTTTTTTTTTTTTTTTTAACTAAAAGACCTTTCAAGATTCATGTTACAAAGAATATCTGACATGAGGCATTCCTGATAGCCAAACAGGAAAGATACAAGGAGTGAGGCTGAAGGGGGACACAGAGTCTCACTGGACTGATGCCATGGCACACAGAGGAGGTCATTGCCCTTGTACACAGACACACAGGAATAGAAGTGAGATGTCTAAGCAGGAAGCTCTCACTAATGAACTGGCCACGTTTCCAGCTCGGTTGCCATTGAGTCAACAATGACTACTCTTGACTAAAGCAGGATTGGACACTCAATGATAAGAAAATGCAGCTAAGTCTTAAAGAAACATTATAAAAATTGCAGAATACAGGGAACTTGGAGAAATCAATAGAAGCGATATTGGGGATTACCTAGATCTCCTACAAACACATCTGTGAAAGGTACCTTGCTGAGAACAATTGTTGATTTAACCCCAGGGAAGGGCTTTGGGGATGGTGGTACAGTGGGCAAATGGGGACTGACTGGACAGGAAGAGAATAATAATTAACTTCAGGAGATCTTTAGGGGAAATGATAAACTAATGCTCATGAAGCAGAACTGAGCCTTCAAGGTTTCAGCCTATAAATCAGCTGAAAGAATTCTACCCCCCCCCAAAAAAAAAACTTTTTTCAAAATATATTCATTCTAGGAATTACTTTTAAGCTATAATTGTAACAAAATTATTATTACATATAAAACCAAGTGCATTTACTCATATTTTCATATCTTGTTTAATTCTTCAAGTTTCAACCGAATGTCATGTTCAAAGCTATTTGCTATGAAAACACACAAGCTTCTTCTCAGGGGACTTGCCTTGAGTGAAGTCCACACCATGGGGTTCTCAGCATGACAGGAAAAGCCACTTAAGTATGAACAAGGCTGTCTCTACCTTGATTCAAGTCCATAGAACACTATGTGTTTGTCATGAAGAAGCCCAAACTCACAGGTCAAATTAGGTCCCCTTCTAGACCTAACCCAGTTAGATTCAAACCAACTCCTCTAATTCTCTGGTCTCATTCGGTTTCAAAATTTCAGCCAAAACAGACCATTTGTCAAAGCATTTACAATTTCCTGCTCTAATTATAATACACGTTATCAGTCCTTTATTTATACACTCAACTAACATTGTCAGATAATTATCATGTTAGTTGTATGCCTACTATTCCAGGCACTAACGAGGCACTAGGGGTCGAGTTATAATACCGGATTCATTGCCTACCCTCCTTGGGCTGCAGTGAGCAAATTGATGGATAGTCACAGATACATGACAGATACCTATGAGAGAACAAGAACCTCTCTGAAGTTCCTTTAAGGCCATGGGTTGGGAGGCCCATTTAGATAGAGGACATTGTTATAATGTGAATCATAAAGCTCCCCCAAAGCTCATTTGTGGACAGCTCAGCCCCCAAATCATCTGTTTTCAGAGTTGAGCCCATGAGAAGCAATTGGTTATGAGAACTCTATCCTCATTGTTAGGTCAATCCATTATGGGAATCATGGCTTAATAGGATATCTAAAGTGATGG